GAAACATTAAAATCAGCCATGTCATGTGTCAATGGAGTTGAAGATTGAACGATCAATTCTTGGTTGTTTGCTCAAAATCAACTTCCCGATTTTCGCGGAGGCATCAATACGACAGTCATCGTCTCATCGGTCGCTGTTCAGAAAGAAGAGTAAAATATCGTAAAAAAAAAAAAAAAAAAAAAAAAAAAAAAAAATTTTCAGACCTTAGTTTGCTTAGTTCGCTTATTCCTTTTATATGTTGGTGTAACAATACAGAAATATCAAACGGCAGATCGGTGTTTTGGTTTTTGCGTCCGTTATAACTAAGCGTTTCTGAGAAATCTTAAGAACAGCGTGGGCCCGAGCGTAGCGAGAGCTGGGCATTAACGGTTTATGAGACTTGGCTGACAGTTTCTGACGATAGAAACAGATCTGGCGGATTGAAACAGTTGGTGAAAGTTTGGATAGTCGCCGTTCATTTTCCTGGTGCCGGTCAAGTCCTCTTTGAACAAGCAATATCTGGAACTTTTTGGAATTGGGTCAAGTTCAACAATGCCTGGGTCAAAGAAGGGACAGAGTGTCTTGGATGCAAACAGGAAAGTAAGTCATGGTGACTTGTCTGTTAATTGTAACGATGTGTCTGATGTTAAGCATGACATGGTTGATGTTACTGTTTCGCCGTTCAGGGATAATAGGAACATCAAACTCCCTAAATTTGAACCACGTGTTTTGATGGAAACCCGGCTGATTATTTACAATTTGTAAAGGAGTTTGAGATCATGTTGAGTGGTTTTTTATTAAATGATGAATTGAAATTGATGTATTTGATGAGATATTGCACTGGAGATGCTTCAAGAGCTATACAGTGTTGTAAGTTTATGAAGCCAAAAGAGGGCTACGATGAGGCTATGAGCATATTACGTCAAAGGTTTGGAAGACCTTCGATGATTGCAGGGAAATTATTCGAGGCTGTTAAGGGTAATGGTGGTCAATTACAGGATGACTCCCAGGCACTCACTGAGTTTTTAGATAATTTGCTAATTTACAAGAATGGAATGATTTCGATGAATTGCATGAGTGACCTCAACTCGAGTTTTATACTAGAAGTAATAGCAAGACGTCTACCTACTCGACTGCAAAGGAAGTGGGTGAAGATAAGCTCCCGTATGGAGGATGAGGGTATCGAGCCAAAGTTTGATGATATCCTGAAACTGGTAAATACTAGTGTCAATCAATCTATGAGCAAGTTCGCCAGTCTATTACATCTCACCCCTAGAATAGAGCAGTCTGAGATCAAAATGCAATCATTGATGACGAGTAGGCCTCAGAGAGGTGGATATCGAGAAAGCTCCATGATGTCTAGTAATGCATATAGACCTAGTGAGTGTAACAGGTTTCGTAGTACATCCTCAACAGATAAGTTACAAGATGCAAGACAAACACGGTTTTGTTTTACACGTGTGCAAGAGGTGCATACAGAAGTGAACTGTGAACCGGTGAGCAAGTTCAGTGATAAGCTAAATGTAAACTCCAGACCTGACTCCGAATTGTGTGACGATAACGGTGCGGTGAAGAAGTCTGTAGTTGCAACTGGTAAGCCGTTGTTGAATAGAGTGTCACAGAATAGAGTTACTGCTTCAGAGTGGAGTTCTGACTCCACAAGTTTACAAGGTATATCTAGTCAGAGTGAAGTTATAAAACCTTTATGATTTGCGAGGAGGAACCAAAATTGTCTACTTCTGTTATTAAAGAGTTTGAAAATGATGAAGTTGACGGTAAAGTGAATATTCGTGATAATGATCATGATACTTCACAGTTGTCTTTGGTTGATCATGATGAGATGAGGGATATGCCTACTACTGCTAAGTTAAATAAAGGTTCTGTACAACTACAACGTGAAGTAGAATTGAACGCAGATGCAGTTCCAGAAGGTGTGCATACTTGTGAGACAGTCAGTGTAATTGATCAGCGTGTAGCCCACCTATCATCAGATGATAGTGCTAAACCCGAACTAGTAGTGAAAGACAGCAGTGGTGGTAATCTTGCAGTTGGACAACTATCTGAAAGCCGAACAAGAACAGCTTCTGATCCACCACTAAGTTCATCACCTTGTGTCACTCAGTCATCGTTGGTGCTGTCATCCACAATGAAACAGACACCCATCAACTCAAGTATCTTGTGCAATGACTATGGTAGTATCAGTTCGTTTGAAAGGACGAATATCAATGGTCAGTTTAGTGTGGATAAGCCAAGTGTAAAGGAGAGAGTTATTGTTAAATTGACTTGCACGAATAAAGGCATTTCTAGTTTCAAGTTACTATTTGAATGTTATTATCTTTGGTGTAAATTACTCTGTTTCTATACTTGGTTGATGAGATATGTCGTGTGTTTGTTGGTCATCTATATTCTACGATACAATGACATGGGCGTGTTGCCGTTCAGATTTGAGGATATAGCTGATAGAAGGAAGTTAGCAAATGAACTCTGCGACGATTTTCCAACCTAGGGCGTCAACCTGAGAAGGGTTGTAGGCGTACTGGTGTAAGTCCTACAGTTCTTCAAAGGGTAGCGCATCAATGAGCAGTCCAATGTGCTTGGTGTATGATCTTGTACATATGTTCATATTGTATATACTGAATTGATATCATCTGTCATCTAGCTGTTGGTAATTCTGTTTGTGTCCGGACGACTTCCACTTGGATCATCAACCTGAGAAGGAATGTAGGCGTACTGCTGTAAGTCCTACAGTTCTTCAAGGGTAGTTTGTCGTGTCAGAATCCACAACATTTGATGTGTTGATTGTACATATGTTTGTGTTAAATAGTTGTGTGAGTTCCAATTGATGTAATTGTTGGTTAATCTTGTTTGTGTCTGGACATTCCACAACTTACAATCGTCAACCTGTGAAGGGTTGTAGGCGTACTGGTGTAAGTCCTGCAATTCTTCAAGGGTATTCCATCAAGACATGAAATGCGAGTTTGTGTGTACTGTTTGTATATACGTGTGGTGTGTCATATCAATTGGTGTTTTTGAATTCATTGTGTTTACTCGTTGTTTTCGTATCTTGTTTTTATTGCATAATTTTGTTAAAATTTTCGTCGTGATTACTTTCGAAGTTGTGTCCACTCTTCTACATCCGTGAATGAATTGATTGATGTTAAAGACAGCAGATGGGTCGTATACGCCGGGGAGGCTAGGCTATTGCTGAGAATGAAATGCACACGGAGATAATTGTTAGCTGCGGTCCGACACGCCGGGGAGAAAGAGTGTAAACGACTGAGGCTCGCATGCGTCACCGCTACTAGAACTGAGGCAGAATGAGTGACAAGCGATTTCAATGGTAATTGGTAGTGAGTAATTAAGAGGATGTGCGTAGAGTATCGTGAGGTGCTGCCATGGTCACTTTGCATTCTGCAAGAGTCATTCTAGCAAGTGGCGATTGTGTTGCAAGATGTCAAGAGGAGGTCTCTGTCTGGAGGCGCAGGTCGTCATTGATGTGTGAGATTGTGCTGTGGGTATGCTTGTGGTGTGTTGGCTTTTCTGTTTGTTTTCCATTTCAGCTCTGTCCGTGTGACCCAGGTTCTCGCAATGGCATCCAAGTCAACGTGCATTGGTCGTGAAGGAAAAAAGGGTTGGATCCCTTTTTTGCCGGGGAGTGTCAATGGAGTTGAAGATTGAACGATCAATTCTTGGTTGTTTGCTCAAAATCAACTTCCCCAATTTTCGCGGAGGCATCAATACGACAGTCATCGTCTCATCGGTCGCTGTTCAGAAAGAAGAGTGAAACACCGTCAGAAGTAATATTGTGATTTATTATTGTAATATTTGTTCACAGACCTTAGTTGTAACAGTGTTTATATGTTGGTGTAACAATAAAGAATCCTCGAGTCAACAACTGGTGTTTTGGTTTTTCGTCCGTTATTACTAAGCGTTTCTGAGAAACTTCAAGCGACAGCGTGAGCCCGAGCGTAGCAAGAGCTGGGCATTAACGGTTTACGAAACGTGACTGACAGAATGCTTGGGAGCATTTTTTCAGAGTAGATGGCTTTATATCAATAGAACTCTAGGACTTTTCACATGTGAGACTCTTGAACTCTCTCATTACTTTTGCCAGTTTTATTTAGACAGTAGGAACTACGTTTTTCTCCTTTGACGGATTAGTGCCTCCATTTGGTCGGTTCCTATATCTAAAAAGTAGTGAAAATATTCACTTCGAATCTCACTGACTCATTCGATGGTAGTATTCTGCTCCTGCAGCCTTCATTCGTCATTTTTTGTGAATATGTTAGAGGTCATTGTGGTTCCTGACCGGCATGAATTAAAAAATCCACCGGTTGCTGATTATGGTGATTCATTCACACTTCTTTACACTTCTAGCTGGATACCAACTGCTGTGGTGAGCCTATTGCAGATGACATTGTTGAAAGCATTATAGTCGATAAACTAGCTAGCGTTTTGCAAGCCGTTCGTATACTTTTGTGACTATGTAGGGGACTGTCTCGACAGAGCTCATTAACATAACAAATATGCGAATAAAAATCCAAGTAACTGAGATGATAGTGCAACAATATATTATTAAAATGCAGTAGTGTGTTATATTAATTAATAGGCTACTTGAATACACTGTTAAAGTCCACTGCTACAGATTATTTACATTTACACAGAAGCGTTGACTGTTGGAATGGTGTCTACTGGTAGAAGCTGTGTTCCGGTTGTAGAGTTGTCTTCAGATATGTATAATAAGTTCCTGCAATAAATCCAAATTATACATCACGGTATGAGTGGAGCAAGTAGGCAGTAATGGCCCGAGAGAAGGCAAAGCTACCAACAGTATGGTGTATTTCGAATTGTACTCGGACGTTGTCTGTATTTAAACATGAATCGTTTTAAACAAAAATCACGCACAATGTCTCTAATTTCAACATCTAACAAAAAGCGTACAACCATATTGTTACGTACTCCACAACTAGACCACCATGTTGACTGCATGTAACACAGCCTTCAGTTGATACGCATGTTTTCGACAAATTCAAACAAAAATGGTACCTACGATCATATCACATAAATCGTCTTAATCTATTTAAATTGTGCTTATTGACAATACTCCATTATCTTTCCTTTTGTATATATCCTGTGTAAGTGAAAATTTGTAAATATGCTTACTCCATGTATATATTACTTATCATATTGATCGTGCCTGTAAAAATGGCATGCATTTTCATGTAAATTTATATGTTTATATGAGAATATACATTATTATTATCTCTCATTAATACAAAATGAGAATATGTTATTACCAGTTATATCCGCATTACTGTTTAACTTTTTGCGAGGGCTAAACGGAATGTTTCAGCAATATCCAAACCAGTGAGATATTGACCATTTATACCTACTTAGGCGCATGCCCCTGGTTCGTTGGCAGTTATATCCTATATGAATTGCTACAAGCTTTTGGGGTTTGCCAGTAGTTTTTTGGCAAGGTTAGCTCAAAATGATCTCTTGTCATTATTGACTCTTGCGTTGCACCAGTTCCTGAGTTCCAGGTATGCATTGTGGCCAGTCTGATACTTAGATATTTGCCGCGTAGACCAAGCCTTCTGCTTTACTTGCAGAACACGATGCGCACCTCTCTTCAGTCACGAGAACCTCTTCTTCGGCTGTGTTGTGACAACGAGGACTGTATCTCAGATAACCATGCGAATAGCCTCTTTTAACACTTCTCAGTGTTTATCCAGAGATGTTTCGGCCCATTCTATGGGCCATTTTCGCCAAACAAAAGCCATGGCATTTCATCAAAGTCCGCCTTGTTATGGCACAGATATGATAGCGTAGCATCCCATCGTAGGCACCCACGAAGGAAAAGGTGAAATCCCGTAACTGCGTAGTCACTACTTCGTAGGAGGGTCACGATCTGGACCTTTTCAACAAGTCACTAATTAGGACACAATCTAGTTTAATTGACTTTTAATTATGTCTCCACCTAGTGTCGTCTCTAACATTCTCAGTCAGTCCTTTATTTCTAATGGTTTGCAGTAGATTTCTACCGAACTTTCTCTGAGCATACCGCGAACCACGGTTCAGTGATGGGGCATTGAAATCTGCAGCTATGGTGATTTGGTCATAGCCCAAGTCCGGTATCCCTGTGATGGCGTTGAGTAGTAGCTGGTTGTGCCTAACCCCACAGGTAGGTAATCGGTAGATGCCACCCAAGTAAGTGCTTGGTGTGGCCTACGGTGAAACGACACCATATAGAGTCTAAGAGATCATTAGCTAGTTGGTCCGTTGCACGTAGGCATCTAAGTTGTTTGTTAAGGTATATGTTAACTTCCCTTCTTCTCTGTTATCCCTGTCTCTCCTGACCAGAACGATATCATTTATACTGATAGCGGACGTTAGCCAGGTTCCTGCGAGCATGAATATTTTAAGGTGCGGGCGTGACTGGAGGTTTCTGAGTTCACCTACTTGCCCTCTCAGCCCATTTACATTTCTATAAATGCATCTGGCTGTGAATTTCACAACCTCAGAGTGCTGCGGGTTAGTTAAAGTTATGTCGTCTGCTGATAGAGGAATTAATATTGGGACTAGTTGGCTGATTTCGATGGAACCGGATCGTTGCCGTTTTTCTTGGATTTAGGTGGGACACTTGGATGACACTGACTGTCATTCTGAGTGCCACATGACCGTAGTGTTACAGAGGCTTGGAGACGTATTAAGACCTCATTTCACTGGCTCCTTATGTTCCAGGCTTACTGCTACAGCATCGCGCTCGATTTCATACCACTGTGAAGCTACTAGAGCCAACTGTTCCTGGAAGTTGAATTTTACACTAGGCAGGCTTAGGGAGCTGATCAATCTGAGTTAAGCGGGATGAGGTGGCCGGAAAATTGAGAGTGATCCAGAAGCACAAGGGGCCATCTGAGATGACATCCATCTTCATTGCTGGACGTCATGCATGTACTTTTTCACAGGCAGTGCCAGTTTCCAGCTCCGGATCGCCGTGTATGACCACAGAGGTGGGGGGCATCAGTTCCGGTGCCTCCCTCGCCATTCCTCTGTTATCCTATGGCTTATTATGTTTCTCTCTAATACTGGAACTCCTGTAAATAGCTAATACTTGAGCCAGCAACAGCATTCTTTCAGCCTCTTCAGCAGAGCTCAGTGCCATCCTTAGTGGAGAAGGCTTACATTGAGATGCCTGAACATCCCTTACAGCCTGCACAGTTTTGCCGAAGTGACGTTCAGACCTGAAGTATTGCACAAATTGGAACACTGTTCGTGATAAGACTCAGCCCTTTGTTCAAGCAAATTATCATTCCACACGGGTATATTAAACAGGGAAAGCGAATTCAATCAACTAACCTCAGACATAGGTTTGGTCTTTGACTGCTTATAATCCTTCATATGGCCGGTCACTTTATATTTCATCAGATTCTAACTAGTCTTCACAATGTTGCCATACTTGCTAGCGGATGCAAGCGGTGCTTTGGCGATCCTATCTTCCCCTGCCATTCCAGGTGTAACCCTGGGAGTCTTCACTTTGTGAAGATTTGTATTTCCAGTCGGTTGGGCTTCAGTAACCTTCTTACAGTCTTTACCAAGTTTTGGCGGCGTGGTATTATCAGATGAAGCGCTGCATGAGACTGTGTCAAGAGGGAAAAGTGGGGTGTCGTTCCTGTTATCCAGGGACACGCTGTGTGAGACTGTTCCGAGGCGACAAAGTGGGCAAATGTACCAAAAACACTGGCACGGATTGTTTCATATTAACTCATGATATGGTTTCGACGCCTCTATATCATAACGGTAGTGCACTTATCGTCTGCGAAAATGGCATTCAAATTCCGAGAAACTTTCAGAAAAGCCAACACAACAGGCCTGGATTTCGTCTCCTTTTCTAGAAGACGGTTTCGAGGTCTTAGGGCGTCTTGAGCTTTTCTTTTTTGTATTTCTTTGTGTCACACACTTGCTTCCAACGGATATAGTTGTAGTATCATGTCCACCTCGTTCTGCCTGTGCCATTTCAGTGCTAGACAGTGGCAGTGTAGGCATAGTAACGGAACAGGGGCGATGTACATGGGTCTTTGAATCGAAATGCGAGATGAGTTTAATGTCCCTGAGTTATTGTCTCCTCTGACTGAAGCCCTTATGATTATAGGACATAGCGTTTTAGTGCTTTTTAATGCCGCTTTCAACGGCCACATAAACAGTTATTATAACTTATGCTTATATATGTATATGTGATACCAACAGTATCTGCCCAGCAGAACAAGAGCCAAAAGATTGATGAAGTACAAGCTAATTAAAGTAGAAGGTTTTCGATCTTACCCAATACGTTTTGGTTACCCGGCTTAACAGCAGTCACGTGGTGGATCAACAAGTCTTGTTTATCTGAACGATTGGGGAAGATGTGGCTTCAGATGTAGCACATGAAGCTTTGGCAGTAGTTTTAGACAGCTGGACTTAACACGCAGTGTTTTAATATGGAAGTAATGGTGGATTTTAACTCACCGGGTAGAAAGATCAGGTCTCCAAATTGGATAATTCACAAAATAGGTATTTGCAGTCAGAGAGGAAAAAGCACGTCGTATTAAAGGAGCGCGCGCAACTACTTAATGTAAATAAGCACATATTTGTTGTCTCAAGTTTTCATTTTACTGTGTTCACATAATATATTACTGCTTCTGAATCAAATATCATTTAAGTTTCCAGTTCTCAATGACAATAAAAACATCCCAAACGAAAAATCTTGGGCTAATCAGTGTAGAAAGTTTGGGGAAATTTGCCTTCTACCCCTCACACAAAATATTCTTTAACCCGAAAACTGCCCTGAGAAACCCCCAAGCTATCCCAAAGTTTTCCATTTGGGAAGCGTTTGCTAAGATCACTGATACTTTCAAAAGAATGGTCACTGAACAAAAAATACTCTTTTCCATAACTTCATGATCATGTTCTACAGTTATAAATACATATGTCAGCCACGTCTCGTAAACCGTCAATGCCCAGCTCTTGCTACGCTGGGACTCACGCTGTTCCTTGAAGTTTCTCAGAAACACTTAGTAATAACGGACGAAAAAACCAAAACACCGATTGGCCACTCGAGAATTCTTTATTGTAACGCCAACATATAGCCAACTTTAAAATTAAGCTTTAAAACTAAGGTCTATGAACAAATATTACAATGATAAATCACAATATTACATCTGACGGTTTTCTCCTGACTTCTTTCTGAACAGCGACCGATGAGACGATGACTGTCGTATTGATGCCACCGCGAAAATTGGGGAAGTTGGTTTTGAGCAAACAACCATGAATTGATCGTTCAATCTTCAACTACATAGACAACATAATTGTGAATGAATTAATGTTATTAACAACATTAATGCTTCAATAACATCAAATCAATAATATCAATAGGTTACATACAGTTCAGTAGCATCAACATAACAGTAAACTGAACGTCAGAAATATTAGGAAAGATAATAATACAAATTCATGAATTTATAGTCTCTTCTGAAGTCCACGACAATAGTAATGGCTGTAATTGCTTCTTTTGCACACTAAGAACTGTTTGTTTCACGCAAATCGCGATAGCCTCTGCTCTTTGGAGCGTGCGGTGCCAGGATGTTTTTTTTCAATTTATTCGGTACCCGGTAGGTGATAGAGAAGGATTCTTCAATGCTGGCTTTGTGGCCGGTTTGGACCAGGTGGTCTAATATCGAACTGTTGATGGATTTCTACTACACCTTTACTGTGACATACAGGGAGATGTTCTCGAGCACAAAAATCAAGTTCCTAGAACAACGGCCGATATAACTAGTTCCACAAGCGCAGTTGAATTGGTAGATATTTGTTAAATATTGAGTACCAGATATTTTATAAAACTGACACTGGAAAAACTATAGTGGCCTAGAAGTTAAGTTATCCATTGATAGAGTACTTGAAAAGACAGAATTCACGAAATTGGTGAGTTCACTCAAATTTGTCGTTTACACTACGGATAACTTATATGATTCAAACGGTTATCACCACTGACTGTCAAAACTGAAAGATCATTCATTATGTATGTTTTTTATTTGCATTTCCTTATATCGTTCTATTCTTATTATTTGTGGGTGACTAAACTCGAGTCACTCATCAT